TGGTAGTAAAGATTTTCAAAGTAGGTATGAATGACCTTTTGAATTTCTGTAGGATCTGTAGTGATTTCATCTTTTTCATTCCTAATTGCATGAATTTGAGTTCTTTCTTTTCATTTTTGAATAAGGTTGGCTAGGGCTTTATCAATTTTATTTTTCTTTCAAAGAACCAACTCTTTGATTCATTTATTTTTTGTAGGGTTTTGTTTGTCTAAATTGCATTAATTTCTTCCCTGATCTTTATAATCTCCTCCCTTCTTTGGGCTTTGGGCTTGACTTTTTCTTCTTTTTCTAAAATTTTGAGGTGCAGTGCTAGTCTATTTATTTGTTCTCTTTCTATTTTCCTTATGTGTGAGTTCACCTCTTTAAATTTCCCTCTGAGGACTGCTTTCATTGCATCCCACAGATTATAGTAAGTTGTATTTACATTTTCATTTGTTTGTAGGCTTTTTTAATAACTTCTTTAATTTCTTCTGTGACCCATTGATTGTTTAGAGGTTGCTGTTTAATTTCTAAGTGTTTATGGAATTTTTAGAGTTCCTTTTGTCATTAATTTCCAATTTCATTGCACTCTGGTCAGATAATGTGCATGGAATAATTTTAATTGTTTTACATTTTCGTAGGTATGCTCTATGGGCTAGAATGTGGTCTATTTTAGAGAAAGTCCTATATGCTGCTGAGAAAAATGTGTATTCTGATGTTGTGGGGTAGAACACTCTGTATACATCTACTAAGTCCATTTGTTCACAGCTTTGGTTCAGATCTGTTATTTCTTTGCTGATTTTTTGTCCAGTTGACCTATCCCTTTGTGTCAAAGGGGTGTTGAGGTCCCCTATTACAATAGTGTTCTTAATGATATGGGTTTTCATGTATGTTAAGATTTGTGTTATATAGTTTGGTGCTGTGCTATTTGGCGCATACATGTTTATGATTATTATCTCATCCTCTTGCAGTTTTCCCCTAACAAGTCTGTAGTGACCTTCTTTATCTCTTTTGATTGTTCTTGGTTTGAAGTTTACATGTCTGCAAACATAATAGCTACACCCGATTTTTCTGGGTTCCTGTTGCATGGAGGATTGTTTTCCATCCTTTGACTTTCAGTCTATGGATTTCCTTTTG